AGAATACTGGAGTGGGTTGCCATGCCCTCTTCCAGGGGATTTTCCCAACCCAGGAATCACACCCACTTCTCTTTTGTCTCCTGCATCGGTAGGTGAGTTCTTTACCACTAGCACCACCTGGAAGCCCAGAACTTGATAAGATGCTGTTTATTAATTAACCAAGAACAAGAACTTGATGAAACCAATCTCATGGGGTTTTGTTGGGAGAGGATTATGGTTTAACCGCTGTCCTGTAACATCTGGTGTTGTACTGAGTCTGGAGTATGTTTTTCTGATGCTTCCACCTGCCATCTTCATCCACAGAGCATCAGCCTACAAGCTCCCTCAGATGGCAATCACCCAATGGGTAATTTCTCCCCAATGTGAGTCCTAGGAAGACAGACTGGACATGGTGTCTGACACTGACTTTGGGATCAAATGCAAGAAGAAATATGGATGACATGGTCCCTTCATCTCTCTTTGACACTATTCACTAGTTAATATTTTGTTTCCAATCTACAGATTCCATTAGCCACTTGAAGTACCTCTGTCTAAAGCCATCTCTGTGGCTTACATGCGATGGAGGTCAATTAACAGCAGGCGCCCCATCCCAACCCCCACAGCCCAGGGGTAAGTAACTCATGGATGCAGAACTGTGGGTGTTCAACTCAAGCAAAATGGGACCTTGAGAAAGAGAGGAGTATGGGCAGCTAATAAAAAGTCAATGCCTATCTCAACAGCAACTACAGTAACAACAGTTCACCTGCCATCTGATGGAATGGATGAAGCTGTAACCTTACACTCATCTCCCAACTTCATCTTCTATCAACACTTCAGAGGCAGGTATAGTCTTTACCCAGTTGCTAAGGCAATTGTGCCTACAGAGATTAAGCTACCAAGGGCAGTATAAGACAGAACAGCAGGAGGCAATCTTATCTGCCCAGTAGTTTGTGTCTTTATAGGAGTGCAACAATACTATTGACTGTGTAGGTACTAGCTTTCTAACGTATCACCCATTCTCGCTCAGCTGATGTTGACAACCAATAAGGAGTTAGCTAATGCAATCTGAGGCTTTCCTCTCATTCCTGTGATCCTGGTCCAGGCAGAATTCCCCTCCCCAGGGATGATCATGTATTAACATCACAATAACTTTCTGTTCAGCTATATGAGAAACAGAAGATAAGGCTCTTCACAACTTATGTTCTTTATTCTCTGAGAGGAACTTCAGAAAATGTCAGGATGTGGAGGAAAAAAACAAATCAATAAAAGGAAATGAATGAATGCCAGGGCACCCTGAGTGAATCTTCCTGGGTGACTGCCTTGATGTTGGATCCTTGCAAGGGTCACCCAGGGTTCCACAAAACTGACCGTGGAGGTTCTGTGGATGTTTTCCAAATTCCGCACCCCTCCAAAGAAAAAAAGGAAGCTATACATGGACACAGGATAAATGACACATTTTTGGTTGAGATTTTAGTAACAGTGTTTTCAGATTAGATTCTTTACAATAAACAGAAGTTTAGGATGACAGATACATCTTCAGTTGGTGACAAGGGGAATAATAAATTCTCCCCCCAAAATGCAGTTTGCTAGATGATGACTTATAAAAAAGAGGGGAAGTCTGAATGTGAAGGAAAATCACAGAATGAGATTTTAACAGTACAACTTAGGAAGTGACTGGAATTTTTCCTGATTGGGTTTTCTTTCCTTTTTTTTTTAATTTAAAAAATTTTAATTGAAGTGTAATTGATTTAGAAGAAGGGGGCAACAGAGGATGAGATGGTTGGGTGGCATCACCAATTCAGTGGGCATGAGTTTGAGCAAACTCTGGGAGATAGTGAAGGACAGGGGAAGCCTGGTATGCTGCAGTCCATGGGGTCGCAAAGAGTTGGACACAACTGAGGGACTGAACAGCAACACTCCCTCAAAAGCCTATCTTACCACTTCTACACGTCTTAAAATTGTTAGCATCTATGCTGTTCCCTCTGCCTGCCTGTAAGAAACTCCTTCAAAGGTGCCATTTGCCTCGGCATCCTCAGCTCATGGAGTTGAGAGAGGCAATGGTGAGCCGAACTGGACTGGGAGAAAGACAGTCAAATCTAGAAACCGGGAAACCAAAGGACTCTGAAGACAGAAAACTATAGGAAACCCACACCATCCCCTGGATCTCCTGAATCCTGATGGTGTCACTTCCTGGAAAGAGAAGTGGGTTTTGCAACCTCTCTGCTACTTGCTTCAGTCAACACAGATTACAGCTTTCCACTCCAGCCAAGGTCTGTTCTGTGTCCTCCGTGGTGCTCTTTGTTTGAAGATGAACTGCTCCTTCCTCTCCTTCCCCTATGGAGTCCTTCAGCTTAAGCCAATGAAGGAAAAGGAGTCTTCACTGAAGATGCTCAGTTCCCACTTTTTCACTTGGTACCAATGCACTCCAGGCAGTTTATAATCCAGCAAAACACCCAGGCAACTGGCTGAATTTCCTCCTTTCAACCAGTACTCTGCTCTAATAGAACATGCAGACATGGACATACACATCCCTAGCCTTTCTAAATTTTCTGGTCCTCCTGTCTTGAGAATTTTATCTTTCTACTAAGTGCCATTTCGGAATTCCAACCATAATGTTGCCAGCAAGAGGCACAATCCACTATTACAACCAAAATGATTAGGAAGATGGCTGGAATATTAAAGTGAAATCACGTACAAAGCAGTCACCAACAATGTGTTTTACCACTTGGAGATTCCTAAGCCTCTCCCTGGCAAATGTGGCATTCATTAGTTATGCCTGGCTATTCCTAGCAAAGAGCAAGTTCATTATAAGTTAGCAAATTTCAATTTTACAGCAGGTGTGTTATTCAGAGATCTTTTTAAATAAAGTGCTCATATGAGACTAAGGCATATAATTTTATTTTATTTTTCTGTTTGGTATAGTAATGAGATACCAAGGGTACGTAGACCAAAAAGTGACAATTTTCATCTACTGAGGTAAGATAATGATTTTCAGACAAACTAATATGATGTAAACATGCAATTTTGCATGTATGGCTTATGAATCTTGCTTCAGTCATTACATGAGCCCAGAGGGTAATTCTTTCTTTTCTTCATTACTCATTATGTGGCCTTGGCAATAATAAATCTTTGTTTCTGCCAGAAGGATCTATAAAGTGGGCTCAATACTGTGGACTGGAGATAATCACTATATAATCAATGATTCCTCACAACATTTGGTCAGATATAAAAGGCTTAGGACACGCAGATGTATTATTTTGGAGGACTGTGAGAATTTAAGGTCAAAGCATCCTTGGTTTGTTATGATCCTCCACCTTTTCAGTAAAAAACAAAACAAAACAAAACAAAACTTTTTTTGCAGTAGAAGCTCAGAATTGCCCTAAAAAGTTCAGAATTCTAAGTCTAATGATCATTTAAGAAATGATGGACATTGTCTTATTTCTCTTTTATTTCCCCTTTCTGATAATTTCATAGAGTCTCATTTCTTAATATCCTTAACTTTATTTATGTGCATTTGTTTTTAAAACACTTCAAATGCTCTATTCTGGAATGGGTGAGATATGACTAAATAATGAACAAAGAGCGTCTCCCTTTGTCATCAATATAATAGACATGATCTAGGCTTATTCAGGTTTTCTAAAAGACAGATAAGCTGAAGAGCCATAGAAAATGCATGTAACCCTTTCACACAGTCCTGAATATAACCAGATTCTTTCTAGAGGCCAGAAAGCCAGTCCTTGACCAGAGAAGGCCTGCGCCAGGCTGTGCTGGATACCACTGAGTTTTCCTGTGTGTGTGCTCAGTCACTTCAGTTGTGTCTAGCTCTTTGTGATCACATGGACTGCAGCCCTCCAGGCTCCTCTGTGGGATTTTCCAGGCAAAAATCCTGGAGTGGGTTTCCATGCCCTCCTCCAGGGGATCTTCCCAACCCAGGGATCAAACCTGAGTCTCCTGCATTGGCAGGCAGGGTCTTTACCCCCGAGCCACTGGGGAAGCCACATTTGGGTACTGGTAACTCTTTGTGTTGGGGGGCTGGGTGGGGGGCCATCCTGAGCTTTGTAGGATTTTTAGCAGCATCCCCAACCTCCACCCAATAGATGCTATCACAATAACCAAAAAGGTCTCCAGACTTTCCCAGTGTCCTGTGAGGACTACTGCTTTAGGCACTTCTCTCTCTCCGATTCCAGGGGGCCAGAATATTCTAATAATCTAGAAGGATTCCTAACAGGATGCCAGGGACCCAGAATGTACCAGCAAGATTCCTAAGAGCAAAGCAGAAAGGATAGCACTTCGATACTGCAGCCCATTGCACCAGTACCATTTCTTTTTTTTTTTTTTTTAAGTAGCATTCACCACCATTCCTTGAGACTCACTTGGCAACAGAAAAGTCCATGCAGAGAAAGACCAAACGGGCCATGGGGAACAAATTAATCTGCAAACAAATTCTCCTCAAAGAGGGAAAAAGGAAAGCAAAACCATTTTGGAAAAATCCCACGCAATGAGTCAATTCTAATTTCTTTGAGCTTTAAGAGTACACCTCCTCACCTAATTTTCTCTTCTGGGCCAAAGGTTCATACACCTTGAAGCACAGGATATCATTGGGGAGGGGGACAAGACCACCCTGGTAATTGTTCCGTCTTAAACCCTCCTGTCTCCCCAACAGAGAGGCTCAAGGGGCGTATGTGATCCAACCTCCTTAATCACCAGATGTTTGCAATCATCAGAAAGACGTCTTGGGCTGTAACCATTTCTCTGTTCTCCAGCATTCAGTCTCAAAGAGAATTTCCATAACAACATGTGACATGTAGAATGCTTAAAGGCACCAACCATGACAAGACAAATTACACTCATTTTTCAAGACTCTGCAAGGTGCTATACTGCAAGCGGGCGGGCTGCATGCTGGGCGGTTCCGGAGGGCCGGTCAAGGCAGGCATGCACTCCATCGCACCACGCAGGGATTGGGGCGGGGGCTGGCGTGCTGGGGCGGGAGGCCCGCCCGCGGTGGGGGGCTCCCCACTTACCCGCCGTAGGCTGGGATCGGGGGCGGGGGCGCCGCGGCCCGGAAGGTGTTGTACACGGTGCGGCCACGGCCGCGCAGGTGCGCCCCTCGGTAGGCGGCCGCCGCCGTGGCGGCTGGATACGGGAAGCCGGGCACTGTGGGCGGGAAGAGAGAACAGAAGGTTCAGATGGCGGCTGCCTTTGGGGGAACCATGCCCCCTCAACAAACACACCCAGGACCCTGCTCGCCTTAGGCCAGGGCCGGACACCCGCACCCCTTCCTTCCAGGAGTCAGACTTCTAAAGGCAGGCTGGAGGGACGAGACCAAGGTTCGATTCCACAGAGGATGGGCTAACTCAGTGACCCCTGGGGCCAAGATCGAGGACAAACATTCACAAAGGATTCTTACTGACGGGAAGTGCTCACTGCATAAACTTAACTTTTAAAAAAGGCAGACTGCAAGATGTATGTGTACTGGGTTCTCACATCTGCCTATCATCTATTAACAGGCATACCTGGCCAATATAAGTATTGTGCATGATACATAAGTAGATGAGCATGTAATATGCATAGGTGTATATGTGCACATACACATAAGTATGTGTACATGTGTAAGTGATTATGTATAGTGAAGTGAAAGCTGCTCAGTTATGTCCGGCTCTTTGTGACCCCGTGGACTATTCAGTCCATGGAATTCTCCAGGCCAGAATACTGGAGTGGGTAGCCATTCCCTTCTCCAGACAATCTTCCCAAAGAAGGGATCAAACTCAGGTCTCCTGCATTGCAGGTGGATTCTTTACCAGCTAAGCCACAAGGAAAGCCTGATTATGTATATATGTGTATATAAAATATTCATGGGTGTTAGTGTGCATATCACATGTATGTGTGCATGAGTATGGGAATATGTATACATGCTTATTTATATATATGTGCATATGTATATAATTATATATACAAATACATACACACTTCAATGTGTTTGTAGTTATCTCTGAGGCTAAACTTCATGAGAAAATGTTGCTTGTCTACTCATAGCTTTTCTCCATCCTGGTTTAAATTTTTTTCCATATTTCCTTTTAGGTACCTAGGGTTGCTTCTTATTCAGTTGCTAAATCATGTCTGACTCTTTTGTGACCCTATGGACTACAGCCTGCCAGGCTCCTCTGTGTGTGCGATTGCCCACACAGGAATACTGGAATAGTTGCCATTTCCTTCTCCAGGGGATCTTCCCCACCCAGGGATAGAACCCGAGTCTCCTGCGGCTGTTGCATTGGCAGGTGGATTCTTTACTGCTGAGTCATAGGGGAAGCCCTTATGAGCCTATACTGCTAGTGAAAATGTTTTAATTGAAATACACTGTATCTACAGACAAGTGTATGCATCAGACATGTACAGACCCCTCATGCTCCTACAAACAAATCACTACTAAGATCCCATCAGCCCCCTATCCATTTACACAGCTTATAAAACCATTTATACAACTACAGAGAAGTATGAGAACTCAGCTCTGAAAGAGAAAGTGTGGGCAGGGTTATCTTCCCAGGGGTGGCGGTGCGGAAATTCTGAGCCAAGTGAGTTGGTCAAGAGTCAGGAGGGAAAGTAAGCCTGATGCTTGAGACCCATGATAATTAACACAGCTTCCTCTGCCTGGGATGTCCTTCTTCCTAGGATGTCTGCAAACCCTAATGCACCCTGAGGACATCACCCCACCATGCTGCTCTTTCTAGTCCCTGAATCACAGGCTCTCACCACGCTGGTCATGCTCGTCCCATCCCACTCTCAGCAGGCACTGTTACCCGCAGTGAATCCCATGGAGGGGATGCTTTTTTAGGAAAATACATTTGGAAAACCACTGTTCCAGATCTATTAATATATGAAAGGCTCAGGAAGTCCTAAGGTAAGTGAAGTGCGTGCATGCATGCCAAGTCGCTTCAGCTGTGTCCGACTCTTTTCAACCCTACGGACTGTAGCCTGCCAGGCTCCTCTGTCCATGGGATTTCCCAAGCAAGAATACTGGAGTGGTTGCCATTTCCTTCTCCAGGGGGTCTTCCCAACCTAGGGATCAAACCCACATCTCTTATGTCTCCTATATAGGCAGGCGGGTTCTTTCCCACTAGCACCACCTGGGAAACCCAAGGGAAGTGCATTAACACCATTAACGCAGCAATCCCAGCCTCCATTTCTCCGGGAACTCTAGTTCACAGAATACCCAGCCTCTCGTGGGTACTGGTCTGGAGAAGAAAATCACTTATTATATTTACCTCTTCTATTCATCTGCCAGCTCCTTGAGGGGCCCCCACTGGATCCCATTCATCCCTGCATTTCCCCGTGCATCCCCCCACATCAGCAGAAGCCCCTGGATTTTGTCCACAGTAGGTTCCAGATACTGGACACAGTTGATTCTGGATGACTTAAAGACGGGTGAATGAAGCCCTGGGATGTGGTCCAACCAAATGACTGACAGACTATGCATTCTCTCCTTGTTCCTTTCTCTCCTCTCATCCTGCTTGCCTAAGAGGAGCTTGAAGCATCTCCTGTTAGAGAAGGAGCCAGGTGGAATGAACAAGAACCAGGATGGGTTTCCTCGTGTCCACAGCCCTGTCTCCCCTGTTCCATCTCTCTTGGGATTTTAGACAGTGTCAGTAGCAACATGCAAGGCTGGGAAGGACCCAGCTTCTCTTGGTCTGATAGGAAGATAAAGGCTCAGAGAGGCCGCACCACCCAGGAGACTCTTTCCCAGAATCAAGGCGACACATCAAGATCCCCTCTCCCAGAGTATGTATTCTGCCAAATTTAGGGTGTTGTGTGCCATATTATCTTAAACTCGCCTCCCTCTACATCCAAACAGCCTCCCTCCCTGCCATCATGTTCAAGAGCAGAAGACCTCCACATGGAGAGCAGAACAGACAGGTGGTTGCCAAGGGGGAAGGGGTTTAGAAAGGGACAGACAGGGAGGTGGGAGTTAGGAGATGTAAGGTTTTATATACAGAATGAGTAAGCACCAAGGTCCTACTGCATAGCATGGGGAACTATATTCAGTATCCTGTGATGTCATAATGGAAAAAAGAATTTTTAAAGAATATCAGAAAACAGACTCTGTAGGACTCAAATTACTTTAGACCATGACATTTCTTTGCACCTTGTTTTATGTCCCTGGATATGTTCCAGTGTCTCCTAGTTTATAGTCTATGGGAACTTGAAATAGAATTTGTATCCTGTTTTTGTGTGAAAATTGTATAAATCTTCATTATGTTGAATCAGTTCATGGTGACTTTCAGGTCTATGGTATCCTTCTTCTCTTCTGTCTATTCATTCTACCAATTTTTGAGTTTGATATGGAAACTCCAACTAAAAATCTTAATTTATCTACTTTAAAAAATAATTATATAGTGGAACTATAAGTAATTTTGTTCTGTATTTTCCAAGTCTCTTGTAATTGTGTTATCATGCTTTCATAATTTAAAAAGACAAAAGGAAAGAGAAAAAAATCTGTAAAATAGTTGTAACTGAATAACTGTTGTACCACATAAATTAATACAATATTGTAAATCAATTCTTCAATAAAAGAAAAAATAACTAAAAAGAGTAGAAGCCCTTCACTCCATCAGCCCCCCTTACTCCCAGAGTCCTTGGACAGAGTAGATTTGTAGCTGCATGTCGGTGGCAGGAGGCTGGGAAGGGAAGGTAGTGGGATTTCCCACAGGAGTTATTCCTGATCCTATATTCACGGGATTGCATAGACTGGACTATAACTCTTAACCTGGAAGTTGAAGACAGACTGACTACCATCTGTAATTCTTCATATGTTCTTGAATAGCTGACAGCCAGGCTGTTTCTTGGATTCTACCATATCCTTTTCTGATGATGCTAGTAAAATGCTAGGATGGTAGAACCAAGCCAGAATGATTTTATCTTTCTATTTATGTCCTTTATGTCCCAGAAGACCATCCAGGTTATTTCTTAAACTTAAAAAAAAAGTTGTCAGCCAAGACAAATCCTATAGCAGTACTTAGCTCTCAGCTTGCCAGCCCCTCAGCACCCATGTTTCTTAGCTGGTGTTTCAGCTGTGCTCACTTGGTCAGTTGAGCGTGACTCTTTGCGACTCCACGGACTGGAGCCCTCCAGGCTCCTCTGTCCATGGGATTCTCCAGGCAAGAATCCTGAGTGGGCTGCCATTTCCTCCTCCAGGGGATCTTCCCAACCCAGAGAGAGAAGCCGTGTCAGTTGCATCTCTTGTACTGGCAGGTGGATTCTTTACCACGATGCCACCTGGGAAGCCGAACTACTATTCTTGAAATTGCAAAGAGGTATCAGCCTCAATGGGGAAAGTGGGGCAATCCTAACATCCTAAAAGGCCAAGAGTTGTGAGATAGGAGATGTTGGCTTCAGCACTGCGGAGAAAAGGAGCGAGCGAGCCTTTGATTTCCAACGCGATCTTGCCACAGTTCAAATATTAAGTTTCCGGAGGAACACCCTGGATTTTGAAATAAAGCAAATGAAAAATTCACAATCTGGCAGAGCAGCTGGTTGCCTGTGTGAGGAAACGCGGTAATTATGCTGACCCATTCATTATCGTTGGCTGCGGCACGGAGTGAGCCAGACAAGATCCCTCTCAGCGACAAGCAGGTTTTACAATAATTCTTGGAGGATTTAGATGTTGAGATAGAACATGAAACAGAAGCTCGGCAGTGGAGCAGGGGAATGCAAGCTGCTAGAAGGGGAAAGCCAGGATGCCGCTGTGTACCCCTTTTGCTGCAGGGAGAAAATAGCCTTCTCAATGCAGGATAAGGGATTTGCAGGTCTTCGAACCAAGCTCTTTGGGCTGCCCCAAGCAGGGCGCATTAAAGAGATTCTGGTTGTTAAAGGAACAAGGGAAGGACTGCACATCAACTTCCTGGGAGGCCAAGTGCCCTCAGGTAAGATAAGCAGCCAACTGATGTGAAGAGCTGACTCACTGGAAAAGACCCTGATGCTGGGAAAGAGTGAAGACAAAAGAAGAAGGGGGCAACAGACGATGAGATGGTTGGATGGCATCACCAACTCAATGGACATGTTGTCATTTGTTGTTCAGTAATTTCTGACTCTTTGCGACCCCATGGACTGCAGCAGGCCAGGCCTCCCTGCCCTTCACCATCTCGCGGAGCTTGCTCAAACTC